GTTTTTAGATGGACCACCTATTTGCATCTAATAGATTCTTTACACTTTAGAACTACAAATGCGGGCCAATCCGCACGAAACAATCTTCCTTTTTATTATATGATGGGTAATAGTCCTAATAATTTGCTAATTATTCTACTGAACAAATTTGCTTAGAGACTTTACTACATGGCAATTATTGGCTAATAATTGACTCGTAATTAAGTTTATTATCAACCTAATAATTTGATCTTTTCTCAATGTTTTTACAATGCAACTTTGGATTGGACTATAAGAATTTTTTAATGAATGAAGTTTAGATCCATACAGCTGTAATTCATGGTTCATTTATTTAATTTAAATTTTCTAGTGATACTTTTTTTTATATATAATTTAAAAGGAAAATTTTCAAGCTTTATGACACATGCAAGTGTTGGATGAGAGTTTGGATGAGAGTGTCCATTAAAGGCCTTATGAGTGCCTGTAAAAATAATATATTTAATAAAACATGAACTCAGTAGGAGTATGGTCCCTTGTGGATCATATTAAGCACACATTGTATGTTGATACTAGATTGTGTTTGACGTGCTAAGTCAGTCTGGATGGGGAAAACCGATATTGTCTAAGCATTGAGAATAACACCAATAAGGGCTATATAGATTATCCTGTGATAAGGTCGGAATATGCGTGGATGAATGAGCCAAGGGATTATGTGACCCTTGTGTGTAATGAAGGCATTGAGGGATGGGGTCAAAACCTCATCATTGGTTCCATCACAAGGCATGCACATCGATAACCGTTTTTGGGAAAACATACCACCTTTTAGGATGAAGCGTGTGCATGAAGCGTATGCATGTACGAGAGATACCCATGTGCACCATCGAGCTATGGTTGTATCAACGTCAGGATGACCTTGGTGTTTTGTCTCCATAGGGGACCTGAAATCCATATACTGGGACTGCGACTCCTTGCCCATTGGCTAAACTTTGGTGACCCACTAATGATCTCTTATATAGACTGTGGGTCATGGGCAACGCTGTGTTTATTTGAGAAAGCATGCGTGGTTCGTAGTTCGCTGTTAGATATGGAGGTGCCCCAGTTGATATTTATTCCTAAACTATATGGATTATTTTCCCATCAAGATTTATTGATTTTATTTATATTTTATTTATATTTTATTTTTAAAATTTTTATTTGAATTTTTATAAATCTCTAGATATTTTATTTATAAATTTTGAATTTATAAAAATAAAAATATTGATTTTATAATGATTTAAATATTCAAATAATAATTTTATGTATTTTCAAAAATATAAAATAAATTAAATATGCATAGGCAGCCCAATAGGTCTTTTGAGCCCACCATTGCATAATGGGTGGGCCTATTATGTACCGCCATGGGTGGTATGCCCCACCTATAATAACTTTCCTATTTAGTGATAAAGCTTGAAGCTTGAGAGAAGGTTTTATATTGTTTTGGAAAGTTTGAACTTTTGAAGAATGTTTGATTAAAATTTTAGAATATATGAGAAGGCGTATGCTTGAAATAAGAAAGAATAATATTATGATACATTAATTTCTTATTTTAATTAATTGATGGGAAAATAGTTTAAGAAGTGGAGGATAATGGTCTAGCACCTTTCATAAGTTGTTGATGCCCATTTATGGAATAGAGAGTTTAGATCTCTTACCCCCACAAGTCACCCAAGATCAATGGTTCATATTTGATCTCATGTGAGTGGCAAGCCAAAAGAAACCCTAATCCTATTCATGATTTATAAAAAGGTTTGTCTCTACCAAATATCTCTACACTTGGAATTTTCATCTCTCCCTCAAGCTACCATAGGGGGCATGCCCCACTTAGAAATCTCACCTCTCTCCTCCATGTTCTCTTTCATGGTGATCTCTCTCATACTCTCTTATATCTCTATGGGGTTCTAAGATTATAAGGTTGTGGTAGTAAAAAGATCATGTCTCTCAAATTATATTGTTAAGGGGATTCATCTAAGGTTTTGAGTTGATAATCAAAGGGGTTCATGTTCCATTGGTGTGACTTGTCCAAACTTGCTTTCATTGTTGATATTGAAGGTTGACCATTAGATCCCGCACCATCGGAAAGTGGTGACACGGTGTGCAGTATAAGAAGCCCGGTTGAGGTAATCTTCTGCACCTTCTTTTGTTTCTTACTTATTTGTTTTATATGCTTTCTTCATTCCCAAGCATAAGTTGTCTTCTTTTCTTATGTTAATGAAAAGTATGGTTTGAATAGCTTCAAGATCTTGAGATCCTATTGTAATCTTTTATTTTATTAATTGATTTGAAATTATTTTTAAAATGACTTCTTGTGAGTGATCTAGATCGTGAAGAATAAAAAAGATTTAGAAAAAAAAAAAAAAATATTATTATATACTCCAGCTAGATTACACGTGTCCTTATTTCACAACAGGAATACTTTATTATTATTATTATTATTTGGAAAAATTACGTAAATATCCATTTTAATTTCCGTTATTACTTAAATATCGAATACTTTCCATTATTACATATATGTCCATTTTTTGGACTTCATAACAAAAAAGACGACCCAATTTTGGTTTTTCAAAACGGAAATCAGACCAATTTCAATTTTTGAAAAACAGAAAATTTTTTGGTTTTTCAAGAATAAAAAATTTATTCTCTCTACCTCTCTCCCTTTCTCTACTTCTTTAGGAAGCGTGCCTTAAAAAAGGGCCAACATGCAGATGGAACGGTAAGCACAAAATCTCAGTCTTTGAATACCGCTTGCATGCTTTTGCCTCTCTCGCTCTCTTTTGCCTGTTTATGTTTTGCTCATTTCTCTCTCTAGCTTCTTTGATTCCTAACCAAGCATCTTTTTCTCTCTCTAACTTTCTCTCTCTATGTTCAAGATTATCTGGTAAGCACAACCTCTTTCTCGCTTCAACTCTTGAGATTACTTGGTAGGCCGACCTTCTCTCTCTCTCTAACCTTCTCCCCCTCTCTCTCTCTAGATATACCCCCCCTCTCTCCCCTCTCTCTCTTCTTAAGACGTCGCTGACTAGAGAGCATCACAGTGCATTGGTACTCATGAAGCCTTCAAGAAAAGCACGAGGCCAACCTATAGGAAACATCCTCCGGCTATTATTTCTCTCTCTTCTCCCCCCTCCCTCTCTCTATATCTCTTTCTTCCATGTCTTCTATTTTTTATGTGCTTCCATTTTCTATGTGAGTTATGCTTGGTTTTTTGCATTCTTTTTGTTAGTATTTTTTGTTTGAAAAATGCTTAAGTGTATTTCAAAACAATAACTTTAGTTTTATAGTTCTTTCCTAAATTGCTTTGTAGAGAGATAAAGATGTGGGTTTGAGTCCCAATTTGAAGAGGAGATAGTTTATTTAGTTGTATTTAAGAGCACACATTCCCATGCAATATATTTTAAGTACAAAGGAGAGAGAATGTGCATGTGCAGGACATGCGAAGCGAAGCGTGTGCATGCCCACACGTATATGTGTGCATGTGTGCGCTTAATGGCGCACTTTGCACTTTGCACTTTGCACTTCGCACAATCGCATGAGGCACCCTTCACTCGAGCACATGTGCAGGTCAAGCTCGTGGCTCATTATCCTTTTGTGAGCCAAGCTCGTAAGTGGATCCAATGGTCATCTAGCTGTTGATGCATGTGGGACACCTAATGGTCTTATAGCCATTGATGAAATGGAGACAAAAGGAGGCTGTAACAACAGCCGTCAAGTGAGTTAAGGGGCTACATGTAACTTGTAGTTGTTGGTGGTGCTTATAACCACCACTAAAGTAAATATGCAGCCACCTTGTAACTAAACATTAATAGGTCCCTTTTGCCATACAAGGGAGACCCTTTTACAACCTTTGCATCTCTATCAATAAACCATTCTCTGCAATTCCAATAAGCAAACCAGTGGGCAAAACTCTCTCTCTCTCTAAATTATCATGATTGGTGTCTCATGTGTGAGTTCCAAGCTCGAGTGCATAGAGCTTAAAAACATTGTAATAGACCTCTATGTTTTCCTGTATCCTGATGACGAATTGCCCTTCTTATGCACTTCAAATACTGTATCAAGGGGGGCAAATATCGTCTTGAGATAGCACTCATCCGTGCCCGAAAACAAAAAGAGTTCGAGATCAATATTTGCAAATCGCACCATTTACTGCCCCTACTTCACCCAACCAAAATCTAACATATCAAGACAATATTTCATGGGTGAAAGAAAATAGACTTCCATGACTTCTTTGAAGGTCATGAATTACGACTTTACTCGACTTGAAGGCTTCAGCAGGTTGAACTTCAACAGATGGCAGCAAAAGGTTATCTCTTAAAGTGGCTTACATAGTCACCGAGTCAATGCGTACACCTCCGCCACCATCGGATGACTCCACTAATGAGCAAACTCAATCATACAAGAGATGGATGGAGGATGACTATATATGCAAGGGTCTTATCCTAAATACCTTGGTAACAAAAGATTTATGATCTTTAACTTTTTAGATTTTAAATTCATTGAAAACAAGCATGTACTCTCTCAAGTATATGAGTTACAGCTTGTAGTCAATGAACTTAAATATTGTGGCATTTCTTTGGATGGATATTTCCTAGTAAGCTCAATAATTCTTAAGTTACCCCCATTATGGAGAGAGTACTAAAAGAAGATGAAACACAAGAAAATTGTTATTCATATGGTCTAAATTCAAAGATCTCTTTGCATTGAAGAAGAGAATAGACTTAAAAGAAAGATGAATCAATTATTTTTCTCTAAGGCAAACTTTGTTGAGCAAAAATCAAATGCTTCATATAACAACCATCCTTTCTTTTTTAAGGTCCATAATGAAAATTATAAGGACTAAAAGTCTATTGCCAACAAAAAATAAAAAGAAAGCCATTTGTTATGTATTTGGAAAACCGAGACACTATTCAAGAGAGTGCCGACACTAAAAAGGGCTCAAAATGCTAAGAGACCAAGTGAACTTGATAAATGATGAAAAATTCGTAGCAATGGTAACCGAAGTAAATATGATCGGTAAAGACAATGGATGGTGGGTCAATACCAACGCTATTATTCGTGTGTCTAATAATCGAGACATGTTTAAGACTTTTGAACAAGTGGGTGATGGTAATTCAGCTCAACTTGGAATCCAAGCTATGGCAACTATGCTTAGAAAGGGTTCAGTGGAACTAAAGGTTAGTTCGAGAAAGGTAGTCAGCTTAGAAAATGTGTATGACGTAACGGACATGAGAAGAAACTTTGTTTCAATATGTATCTCGAATAATAAAGGTTTTAAAATGGTCACTGAGTCTAACAAACTCATATTCACCAAATATGGTGTATTTGTTGGCAAGGAATACTCATGTGATGGGATATTCAATTTTGATCTTGTTAATGAAATGATTGTGTTATGTTTATATTGTGACTTCATGTAATATATGGCATAGTCGATTAGGATATGTTAATTATATTTCTATTAAATCTTTGTTTAAATTATGATTGATTTCTAGTTGTGATAAATTAACTAAAGAAAAATGTGAAGTATGTGTGCAAGCTAAAATAATTAGAAAACTACTTCCTTCAATTGAAAGAAATAGTGAATTGCTAGGACTTATACATAGTAATGTATGTGATTTAAATAATGTTATAACTAGAGGTGGTAAAAGATATTTTATTACCTTTATTGATGATTTTTCTAGACTTTCTTATGTTTATTTCCTTAGACATAAAGATGAGGCTTTTGAAAAATTTAAAGTTTTCAATGCGGAAGTTGAAAATCAACTTAACAAGAAAATCAAAACTATTAGAAGTGATAGAGGAGGAGCATATTTATAAAATGACTTTAATGAATTTTGTGAAAATAATGGCATTATTCATCAAGTGATTATTTCATATACCCCTCAACAAATTGGACTTAATGGAAAAGAAAAATCAAATTATAGTTGAAATGGTAAATGCGATGTTTATTTCTTCTTCCTTGCCATTAAATTTGTAGGGTGAAGCTTTATTATCTGCATGCTTTATTTTGAATAGAATTTCAAATAAAAAGAGTGATAAGGCCCCTTATAAACTTTGGTTTGATAGAAAACATTCTTTGAATTTTTTCAAAGTATGGGGTTGTCTGGCTTATGTAAGACTTCAAGATCCTAAAATAAATAAATTGGGTCTTAGAACTTCTAAATGTGTTTTTGTATGATATTCTCATAATAATAGAGCTTACAGATTTTTGAATCTAAATTCAAACACTTTTTTGGAATCTAGAGATGCTGAATTTTTTGAAAATCTCACATGTAAAAGTGAAGTGAATGAATCATGTTGCATGCAAAATGGAAATAATCATGAAAATGATGAATATGTTGATAAATAACATATAGAAAATAATGATGATGAAATAATAGAACCAATAAGAAGTAAAAGAATTAGATGTGATCCATCTTACAACTTTGAACCTGACTTTTATATTTATCTTGTTGACGCTAATCAAAATAAAATTTTGAATTCATTGAATATAGTCTTAAATGTAGAGGAATATCCTATATCTCTAAATGAGGCTTTGACATCTCAAGATGCAATTTTTTGCAGAGAAGCTATTTATAATGAAATGGATTCTATAATAGCTAATAAAACTTGGAAGTTAGTAGATCTTTCACCTAGGTCTAAACACATTGGTTGTAAATGGTTTTTTAAAAGAAAAATGAATCCTGGTAGTTCTATTAATAAATATAAAGCAAGATTAGTTGCTAAAGGCTTTAAACAAAAGAAGGATTGATTATTTTGAAACATATGCACATGTGGCAAGAATTTCTACAATTATATTACTCTTAGCAATAGCCTCTACTAATCATCTAGTCATACATCAAATGGATGTAAAAATTGCTTTCTTAAATGGTGATTTAGATAAAGAAATATATATGGAATAACCTGAAGGGTTTGTAATATCAAGTCATGAGAATAAAGTTTGTAAATTGGTTAAATCTCATTATGGACTAAAACAAGTACCTAAACAATGACATAAGAAATTTGACAATGTGTTGATGTCAAATGGCTTTGAGAGAAATAAGGTTGATAAATGTATATATAGTAAGAAAAGATAAATGTGTATATAGTAAGAAAATGATTCCTTTATGTGTCATTATTTATTTATATGTGGATGACATGCTTATCTTTGGTTCTAGTCTATAAATTGTAGAGGAAACTAAAAAGTTCATCGCATCTAATTTCGATATGAAGGATTTAGGAGAGGTTGGTGTGATACTCGGTATAAAAGTAGTGACAAAAGAAAAAGTATTAATCTTGACCCAATCTCACTATATTGAGAAAATGCTTAATAAATTTGAGCATGCTGATAGTAAGCCAGTCTCCCGTATAGATCCTCATATTAAGTTAAAGAAAAATGACGAGAGATGTATATCTCAACTTGACTATGTTAGGGTAATTGGTATTTAATGTATGCAATGATTAACACGAGGTCTAACGTTGTATATACGATTGGCAAACTTAGTAGATATCCAAGTTGCCAAAGTAAAGAGCATTAGGATGTTATATATCAAGTATTAAGATACTTGAAATGAATTATCAATTATGGCATAAAATATGCGGGTTATCCCGGAGTGTTGGCACTGTATAGTGATGTTAATTGGAATAATGAAATCCAAGATTCACTATCAACATCCGGATGGATATTTACACTTACGAGTGGCACGATATCATGGGGGTCAAATAAACAAAAGTGTATTTCACGCTCTACTATAGTGTCTAGAATTATTGCTTTAGACTCTGCAAGCAAAGATGTCGAATGTCTAAAGAATTTGTTATATGACATTCACATATGACAAAAACTAATACCTGCAATAACAATATATTATGCTAATAAAGCAATTATTGCGAGAGCTTGTAATGATGTTTATAATAGAAAATCTACACACATTTCGAGAAGGCATAACTCCATTAAAATGTTAATTGGGGATGGAGTGATTATTAGTGTAGAATATGTAAAATCAAAGGAAAATTTGACTGACCCTTCGACTAAAGCCTTGCAAGGGATAACATTAGTAAGATGTCAATACGAACGGGGCTAGAGTCCATTAAGTAATTATCTACAACTTAGTATTTTGTAACCTCAAAATTCTAGGTTCAATGTGGTAAAAACAAATTGTAAGTATGGTTAGTTTGATCACTAGACGACAAAATATAATAGCATCCATTATAAAAAAATCCATATAGTGAATAAGTCAAGTGATGACTTGTATGTTAATATGATAAGCTATGCTCTTAATGTTGTTTATGGACTATATATAAGTCGGAGTGTTTTATATACAAGGGCACTCTTGATAGATACACATATAAAAGTGTGGAAGTGAGGTTGTTTCCTATGAGATGCAGTTGTCTCTAGAGGACTTATAAAATCGGGATATACGCACAAGACCCAAAACATATTGAGAGCTAAAAAGACATCAGAGTTGAATATTGTTTGTGAAATATACAACCGATTTGTTGGATAAGCAACTTGGTTCAAAGCTATATGCTACCATAATACTTGATGAACTTTGTAGTGTACATTCTAACTGAAAGGTCAAATTGAAAGATAATTTCATGATATACATGATATGTTTCCTATGTTTTGTTTTGTTATTTTGAAATAGTGAAGGAAATTGTTAGTATTTTTTGTTTGAAAATGCTTAAGTGTATTTGAATTTTATAGTTCTTTCCTAAATTACTTTGTAGAGAGAGAAATATGTGGATTTGAGTCCCACATTGAAGAGGAGAGAATTTGTTGAGTTGTATTTAAGAGATTGCATTTCCATGCAATATACGCTAAGTACAAAGGACAGAGAAGGCACATGTGCAGAGTACGCGAAGTGTGCAACATGCATGTGCACGCGCGTGTGGGTATGTGAGGGCATGGGCGCAAGGGCACTTGATGGCGCACTTTGTACTTAGTCGTTGATGCATGTAGGTCACCTAACAGTCTTATAGCCGTTGATGAAATAAAGGCAAAATGAGGCTGTAATAGTAGCCGTCATGTGATTTAAGGGGCTATATGTAACTTGTAGCTATCGGTGGTACTTAACCACCACTATAGTAAATATGTAGCCACCTTGTGAATCTATATTAAGGGGTCCTTTTGCTATATGAGGGTGACCCTTTTACAACCTTTGCATCTCTCGCAATAGACCATTCTCTACAATTCTAGCAAGCAAACCAGTGGGCTAAATTTTATCTCTCTACTCGATTTTGTCTATTTCTCTCTCTAAACTATCAAGACTCTTGTGTCTCATGCGTGGGTTCCAAGCTCGGGTGCATAGAGCTTAGGAATATTGTAATGGACCTCTCTGTTTTCATGTATCCCAACGACGAATTGCCTTTCTTATGTACGTCAAATATTATATCAAAGGGGTACAAATATCATCTTGAGATAGCGCTCCTGCGTGCCAAAAAACAATAAGAGTTTGAGATCGATTTTTGCAAATCGTACAATTTGCTGCCCCCATTTCACCCAACCAAACTCCAATGCTTTTGGCCTCTCTTTGTTCTTTATTTGGAGTCTTAAGTATTGATTGAAGACATTTCTTTTTTCTAGGGTTTTTGTTTCTTTCTTGAAAATTAAGTACGTGTTCTTGAAGGCATTTCTGAATTTGAATACTGGGCTTCTTTCTTTTTCATTTTATTTCTTCTTTTTTTTCCTTTTTTTTTTGGGGGTTAGGTTGGTAGATTTTGCATGAGATATCTGCTTATTTAAAAGGGAAATATCTCTATACCCCCCATTTTTAAGTTTTATATCTCAATAAATCTAAGGTTTCAAAACATATCTTGGATCATAAAAATTCTAAGTTTTATATCTTTTAACCCCCTGAGCTAACTTTATCTCCTGTAAACCTAATTTTTGGCCTCAAACAAATATAAGAAAAACATATCCTTTCTAAACATCATCTTTTCTATCACTTCACGTGATTTTTCCCTAAAACACTCTGTACCTATTTTGCCACTCTCTCCCCCGTGTCTCTCACTCTCTCTCTTCCCTGTTAGAGAGACAAAGAGGGTGAATGTTGGGTGAATGTTAGAGAGAGATAAATTTGGAGGGAATATATCATGTAAAGAGAGGAAGAAAGAGATGAAGGGTTAGAATGAGCATGTCTTTTCTATATTTATTAAGGCTAAAAAAATAATTAAAAGTGAGTAAAGTTAGTCAGGGGGT